CTTGCACCACCAGGGAGGGCCGCAACTCTGGGTTTTAACCCTTGCTGTGTGTCCTTGGCCAGGTAGCTGCCCCTCTCTGTGCGTTTCCACGCTGTCCTGCATAGTGGTACGAGAACCCACTCAGAATGCTTATCCTGAGACCTCTGTGGGTTGCTTGGTACAGACCTTTATAGAAGTGTCATTAAAAAAAAAATCATTATTCTTATTTTTGGCCTTTTTGTGATTTTCTTCTTTTTTGCTCATTTCCTGTTCGTTTTTTTCTTGCTTCCCTTCACCCTTTCCACTTGCAGTCTCTTCTCTCCTTCTATTACAGTCATGTATCACTTACTGAGGGGGACATGCCAAGAAGCCCCTCATTTGGGGCTGTTACAGTACATGTACAGTGGGCTGTGGAGCCTGAACCACACTGGGGGAAGTGACATCATCAAGATGCAGTTGTTAAACCCAAAACGACTGAGGCAGCTGCTTCATGGGATGCTATGACGTCAGGATAGTGACGTCACTGGGCTGTGGGACCCTGGTGCCCACCATCCTAGGTGTGGTCAGTTGTTGAACAAAATGCTGTCAGGTGGTATGGCAAGGTTTCCATTGTTGCTGTGCTTCAGACAACACAGATCCACCATTTCAGACTCTGGAAGCCAAAGGTCTAGAATGAGTCTTTTCGAGCCCAAACCTAGAGGCTGCAAGGAAGAATCCACTTCCTGGCTGTAGAAGCTTCTACGGCTTGAATTTGTGGCTCCATCCACCCCCCACCCACCCACCCCTTCTGTCCTCTCTCTGATCTGCTTCCTCTCAGAGGACCCCCTGGGCAAGATCCTCAGTGGACTCAGCTGCAGTGTCACGATGTAAAGTAGCTGACTCAGGCCTTCCGGGGCTCCTGTTCAGTCTATGCCCCGCGCCTATTTCTTACTCACTCCCTTTAGCCATGTCACAACCCTGTCTCTTGTCTCTGCCTCCCAGTGTCCCCCACCTACACTTACCTCACCCTCCCTGCACCTCAGCCAGTTGAACTGACTCACCACACCCACCCCAGGATCGCGGAGGTCGCCGGCTACAGCCCTGAGGACCTGATCGGCTGCTCGGCCTATGAGTACATCCACGCGCTCGACTCGGATGCGGTGGGCCAGAGCATCCATACCTGTAAGTTTTGGGTACCCCAGGCCTGGTGCCTGTGCTCCGTGCTGGTCCAACACAAGCTCCCTGCACCTCAGGGAGCCTTCCTGCACCTCCTGACATCAGCTCCCCAATCCCTCACATGCCAGGGAGCTTCCAGCCCCTGGAATTAGCTCCCACAGCTGCTTGCCCCTTAGGAAGCCTCCCTCAGCTTCCTGGTGTTTGTTGGGGGCCGCAGGAGTCCTTGGTAGGGCAGGGGGTCCTTTGGTAGGGCAAGCCTTGTCTACCTAGGTTGTTCCGGGCAGGGCTGCTGCCACTGCCAATTTGAGGTGGGGTGGGGGGCTGCCCTCAGGGAGCATTCCTCAGCTCTGGGGTCCCTGTAACATTCCCACGTCCTGGGAGTCTTCTGCACCCCACTCCAATTCCAGCTCCCTGGTCCCCAAGAAATTTTCCTTCTCTGTCTCCTTCTTACCCAGTCTCCTGCCCCAGGGCCCCCGGACCCCCAGGTCACTTCGATGGCTCTGAACCCCTCCCATTCCCCCCCCACCCCCAGTGTTGAGCAAGGGCCAGGCAGTAACAGGGCAGTATCGCTTCCTGGCTCGGAGTGGTGGTTACCTGTGGACCCAGACCCAGGCCACCGTGGTGTCAGGGGGCCGGGGCCCCCAGTCGGAGAGTATCGTCTGCGTCCACTTCCTGATCAGGTACGCGGGAGACAGGGTGGCGGTGTGGGCGTGTCGTCTACACGTGCGGTCTGCGCAGGTGCGTGCGCATGCGCTCAGGCAGGCGCACGTGCACGTGAGTGTGAGGGCGCGTGCACGCGGACTGCATGGGAACACGGTGCACGCACGTGTGTGTGCGTGTGCACAAGAACATTACACGGGGCTTCCTTCTGCGCATTTAAATAGAAGATGCTATATTCAAGTTAAAATAAGAAATGTAAAGAACCATGAGGGTTTTTGTGCATTTTAAAAATAGAGGTATCATTTACATAGAGAAATCGCACCCTTCTGGGTATATAGTTCTAGGAGTTTTGACAAATGCATGAAACGCTGTCACTGCCATCACAGTTAAACCACAGAATAGTATATATTTTTATCACACCTCTCCCATTCCTCTAGTGAACCCCACCTCATCCCCAGCAACCAGTGATCTGTTCTTTCATCCTAGATTGTTGCCTTTCTCAAAATGCCATGTTCTTGGAATCATGCGATTGAGTCTGGCTTCTGATCACTTAGCATAATGTACTTAAATGTCATCTATGTTGGGTGTATCATCAATTCCTTTTTCTTTTTGAAGATTTATTTATTAATGCATACAAGAACTGGGGAACCGGGAAAGTAGGGTGAGAGGAGGTACCAGAGACAGAGTGGGGTGCAAAACAGGCAGACTGACTGAAATCCACTGTTGAGGGGAGCAGTAGGGAAACAGGAGAGGTCTGCTGTGCCGTGTGGGTCACTCCCTGGCCGGGAATGGAACTGGTGCTGCAGTGGCTGCAGACAACTTCACAGTACTGAGACTTAAGCCTTTGTGCCACTATGGAGGCCCCACTATTTATTTTTAATGTGATTAATGAATATGGAAAGACCTGTTTATCCATTTGCCAGTTGGAGGCTATTAGGTTGTTTGCTCTTGGGGATGATGATGAAACAAAACTACCATAAACATCCTCCCACAGGATTTTGTGAAATGTTGTTTTCATTTCTTTGGGGTATAAACACTTAGCAGTGAAACGGATGCAGCCTTTGGTCTGCATAGTATATAAGAATCCCCAAACTGTTTTCCAAAGTCACTATAGCATTTTGCATCTCCAGCAGCCTCATAGGAGGGTTCTAGTTCCCCACCAGCCTTTTGTGTTGTGTCTTGTTTTAGTTTGAACCATCCAAATGGATGTGCAGTGGTAGAGCATAATCCCGGCCCCCCCCCACCCCGCCATGCATCTTAGAATCTTTTCACTGAGGCAGCGTTGTGACAAGGGCAGCCATTCCCCCATAAGTTAGAAAAAAATCACAGCTTTTCTTTGAAGATTGCCTTCCAGAACATGTCATCAGTTTCTCAAGTCTTGGGAGTTTTTCCAGATCTTTTAGATGAAGAACAGAAGTAGGTGATAGGGAATATTCATACAAGCCTCCAAACCGCACCCCAAAACAAAGCCATTCATCGTTGGAACACCCTCGTTACAAATCAGAATCTTTGAATGGCTTGTAGCCATGGGAAGATATCTCCACTGTTGCTGCTGAGGAGTGAGGAGCTACCCCTCTCTTCTGGAAATTCCTTTCTAAAAATTGTTTTTTCAGTGGCGAGTTCCTAGGATGTCTATCTTTTGTACTCTAAGAAAATCAGAAAAGCAGGGCTGGAATGGTCCTTCCTTATTTATTTTTACATTATTCAAAATGTGTTTTACTTCATGTTAAAAAGGACAGTTTTCTTAGGAAAAGGGGGACAAGGAGAGCTCCGTAGCAGGCAGGCAGAACTTGGAGGTACCCTTTCTTTTTTAAACATTTCTTTGTGGACCTTCCCTGGTGGTGCAGCAGGGTAAAAAGCACATTACGAAGCTATCCTCAGCCACTTCGGCATGAGTTCTATCCCCAGCCAGGGGATCGACTGAAGCACACTGCTGAGGGGAGCAGCGGGCGAGACAGGAGAGGTCTGCTGTGCCCTGTGTGTCACATCCCTGCCTGGGGATCAAACTGGTGCTGGAGTGGCTGCCGACAGCTTCACAGTACTGAGACTTAAGCCCTTGTGTCACTAGGGAGGGCGCTGGAGTGTCCCATTTTGTTAGCAGACAATGGTTGAGGAGTGGATGAGGAGTGGACAGGAATTCACTTACTGGCAGTGAGATGAGGCAAGTGTGTGAGTCCTGCTCAGCCCTGTGTACCCACGTGTGGTGTGCAGCTGTGTGTGCATGCAGGTACTTATACTTGGTAAATCTACCCACCCCCTTCCCACCCAAACCTCCTTCATCACAGTAAGGATTTACTTCATAAAAACTTCCAAACACTCACTCACAGGACACTTCCGATATGCCAGGCCCTGTGAGTGTCCTGTATTTTGATCCTCTTTTTAGGAGAGAAAACTGAGGACCAGAGAGGGAGTGTCACTTGTCCAAAGTCACACAGCTAACAGAGCTCTCCCTGGTGGAGCAACGTGTTAAAGCACCACATTATAAAGCTCTCTGAAGCCATTGAAGCATGAGTTCGATCCTCCGCCAGGGAGCTGACCCATATGGCATGGCAAGCCTCTCTCGACCCGCCTGCTGCTCCCCTCAGCAGTGTATTTCCATAGATCTGCCTGTTCTGCTCCCCACTCTGTCTCTGGTGACTCTTCTCACCCACCAACCTCTGGCCTGTACCCCAGTTCTGTAAGCATAAATAAATAAATATATTTTTTAAAAATTACACAGCTAATAAGTGGCTGGGATTTGACCCAAGGCTGGTCTGGAGGCTACACTGGTAATTACCAAATGATATCACGCCTTATCTTAACATTTGCCAAGGCAAGAAGACTGGGAATCTCTCCTCAGTCCTATTTACTTCCTTCTGCCTCCTTCCGATCCCCATTAACTCCTTTTGCCTATGGAAAATGTCAGGAATTTGTTCTTCTCTCTGTCTGCCTAGCCACTACCATCTCTCGCCTCAGTATCCCCCTTTTAACCTATCTGAGGCTTCCACCAATCATGCAAAGGCAGAAAACCGGGCAGCTTCTGAAATACAAATCCATTCCTGCTCTTCCTATTCTCAGTGCACCTTCTCAGATCCCAGCATTCTCAGGATAAAGGCCCTTTGTGTTCAGCCTGACTTACCAGGCCCTGCATGCCCTGACTTCTGCCTCCCTCCCCTCTCCAAACCACAGGGCCTTTGCACAGACCACAGGGCTGCTTCCTCTCTGCAGGCTACTCTTCTCTCTTTCCCCTTCCCCTTTATCCTGAATCCTGCCCATTCATCCTTCCCTTGTCTTGAGCCCCCACAGGATGTCAGGTCTTGCCTCAGTTTCTCTTCTGGTATCCTTTTGCCCCAGAACAGGTAAAACCATTTATAATTATTAATGTGTTCAGTCAGGCTTTCCCTGATTTCCCAACCTCTTTCTCTGCTTTGCTTTTCTTTCTCACTCTCTCACCCCACACTGACTGGTCTACAGAGGTGTGGTATCTGCCACAGATGTAATTATCAATTTCGATTCATAGGAAATTTTCAATTTTCCAATAGCCACATTAGAAGGGTCAAAAGAAACAGATGAAATGAGTTTTAATAAGACTACACCTCTGTATATACATATGTATAATATAACTCCAACCATCCCAAAATAGCATTTCAATATTTTAGAATGATTAATGAGCTATTTTACATTCTTCTTCATACTCGGCTTTTAGCATCTGGTATGCACTGACCTCTACTCAACCAGCCATGTCTCAGGGGCTTTCTGTAGTAGGCAGACAGCAGCAAGCCCTTGAATAATTTCTTTTCATTATAATGCTGGTGATCAGCTTCCAGCTGTCACTGAATGAAATGACATTTCGAGGACCTGGTTTCCTGCTATGTGTTTGCTTAAAGTCACAGTTTCCAAGTAAATGAGGACTCACTGAAGAGTCCGTGTTGGTGAGGTGGGTATTAACATAGGAAAAATATAGCCTCCGTAAGTTTTCTCTTTTTGCAATAGCGTGGAAACCCTTAGAGGGCAAGAGGTTTTCTCTGCCTTGTTTGCAGCTTAATCTCTAGCACCCAGAACAGTGTCTGGCATGCAGTAGTTACCCACAAACAATAATGGCTCATCCGTACAGAGCTGGCCTGGCATGCCAGGCCCAGTTCTCCGTTTGACAGACATTAACTCATTTAAGCCTCATGACAACCTGCAGAGGAGGCGATATTACTGCCCCCTCTTTTACAGAAGAGGAAAATGAAGCCCAGAGAGGTTTAGCTACATATTTAAGGTCACACAGCACCTAAGTGGCAGAACTGGGATTTGAACTCAGGTCTGTGGCTGCAAAATCCACTAAGCAGTCCTGATCTGTAGGAAAGGCTTGCAGAATGAAGGAACTCCATGTGGTGTGTGCACACATGTGAGCTCATGCAGGTGACTGCGTGAAGTATGCTTTTGTCTGCTTAGAAAATGCATGAGCGTGTATATGAGCCAGCTTGTCTTGTGCCATGTGTGTACGTGAGTGCGTACATACAATTGTACACGTGTGTGTGTGTTTCAAAGGAGGTAGACTGACTTTGGTCCAGTTTGAGTTGAGTTGTTCCAGCCCACAAAGTTGAGTTGTTCCAGCCCATTTGATGAGGGGACGGGTCTGCAGGTTCTTAAAGAGCTGGTGGGAAGCACCCGGTCTTTCCAGGACAACGTTATACAAATCAGATGCAAACTCAGGGCCAGGCCCCCAGCCCAGACCAGTTCTCCCAAAGCCAGTTTTCTAAGGGAACATTTGGCTAGAGACTGGGAAGAGGGGAGGCATGGGGAACATAAGGATGTATTTATAAATTCATTCCCTGAATATGAAAACTGTCTATGAATAGAAGCTTCATAAATAAATTCTTATTCATAAAAATCTATTCCTATGAAATCCTCATATTTGGTAACAAAAGAGTATGTTCGATACAGATTCTTCATCGATACATGTATAAGGATGTGTTTAGAAGTTAAGGAGAGAATTTGGTTCTTACGCCTTTCACTCCCTCTCTGTGCCCCCCGTACCCCCCAGCCCCAGTTCCTCAGGCTCTCCTCTCTCTACCAGGCTATGCTAAATGCCAACTCTTTTTTTCTGTCTTTCAGAGGGAGCTTGGAAGACAAACTTAACTTTCTTTTAAATCCTATTATAATAAAAAGCATTCAACAACAGTGAAATCCTTAAAAGAAAAAAAGTAGATGTGGCAAATTATTTTCTGCACCGAGCCCTCAGGCTCCTGGACGAGGGGGCTTCAGTGAGAGGGCATCATCATCATCTGGGGGGGCTGGGGCCGCGGGCCCTCCCTGACTGCCACTCCCCTTTCTGCCCTGTACCCCAGCCGGGTGGAAGAGACTGGAGTCGTGCTGTCCCTGGAGCAAACGGAGCGACACTCTCGCAGACCCGTTCAGCGGGGCGCCCCCTCTCAGAAGGACACCCCTAATCCTGGGGAGAGCCTCGGTATGGGGCGGGGCTTGGGCGGGAGGGGTGGTGTTTCCAAGATGCTTGCGAGAACACGCAGGTGCTTTAAGGTGGCTCACCAGGCCCTGTGTGACCTGACTCCCACCTCCCCTTCTCACTCCTTGTCAGAGCTGCATCAGCCTCCCCAGTGCTCTGGGGCGTGCCTGGCTCTCGGGCCCCAGGGCCTTTGCACATTCAGTTTTCTCTGTCCAGAAAGCTCTTCTCTCTTCCGACCTCCCTCTTCTGCGTCCCCAGGATGTTTGCTCAGTCTTGCTGCTCTCAATTCTATATCCTGCCCTCACCCTCTGCTTGTTCTCTGCGCTTGCTTCACTGTTCTTTGGCTTCTTCCCGTGATGCTCCCTGATCTGGCTCTCTGGTGCCTCTTTCTCCTCCCATCCTGGTCACGCTCCCTCCGGCTGTTCCTCAAGGTCTCACCTCCTCCGAGCTGTTGCTCCTGTATGTGGAGGGGGTCACCTGTCTCCTCCCGTCCTCTGGCTCGTAACCGACTCTGGGCCATGACTTGGTCTCTGGGGACCTTAGTTCTGCCCTCACGGCGGCCTCCAGATATGCCAGCTCCCAGGACTGAATGCTGTTCTTGTCGCTGGACAGACTGGTCAGTCCAGTGGTCCGGATGTTAAATATGCCCACCATCTGACGGTGGCCACAGGTCACAGCCCACTCTGTGCCCCCGTCCCACCTTGGGCCTTCCCGACACCCTCCAGGGCCTGGCTTCAACTGGGCGATGGAAGGGCTCCTGGGCCAGCCGAGGTGCTCTGGACCCCAGGCCCCACACTGTGATGATGATGATGATGGTGCCGACCCTGCTCCCTGGAGGGTGCTGCCCCTCAGCCCTGAATGACCCCCCCCATTCCTGTGTGCCCTGTAGATGGCTCCAGTCCCCGGATCCTGGCCTTCCTGCACCCCCCTGCCCTGAGCGAGGCCACTCTGGCCGCCGACCCCCGCCGCTTCTGTAGCCCTGACCTCCGTCGCCTCCTGGCACCCATCCTGGACGGGACTTCAGTTGCTGCCACCCCCAGTGCACCCCCCGCTTCACGGCGCCCCCAAAGCCCTCTTCCGGTAAGCAGCCCCTCCCATTTGAGTCCTAAGGAACCAAGCTGCTTTGGTCTTTGCCCCAAACCTTGTCCTCGGCCTCAGTCTCCACATCTGCAATGGGAAGTTCGAAGGATGGGGGGTCTCTGGATTCTACATACTTGGGCTGCTAATATGGACCAAGAGGTGTTGGGGGCTGGCGTGGGTGCCCTTCGCTTGTGACCCCCACACGCTGAACTTTGACCTCCCAATTCAAATCCCAAGCCCTGCCACTTACCTACTGATTTAATCTGGACAAGGGGTCACCTTAATGTCTTCACCTGTACATTAGGATAATAGCCAATAACCACCTCACTGGTCACTGTGAAGGTTTGCTGAAGACCTCAGGACCAGGCACCTAGTAGGTGTTCAGCAGCCCAAAGTAATGGCTGTTTTTGCCCAGTGTCCAGATAGTCTGACCTTTGAATGAGGGTCAAAGTACCCAGTATTAACTTTACTCACCCCCACGACCCGCCACCCGTCCTCCCAAAATATCCTCTCTCCCCCAGAGAAAGAGTTCGTGACCTCTGACCTCACCCTTTACCTCTAGAGCAGCTGGACTCCCATTGCTGCCCCTCATTCCACACACCCCGGGGCCCTGAGGGCCTTGGCCGTGGGCTCCAGTCCTTTGAATCTTCAGTATCTGCCTGTGAACCTGTCCAGGCGCTGTGACTTTGGAGCATCGTAGCTTCAGACCAGCGACCTGACCTTTACCCTGAACTTAGTGCAGGCTGCCCCACCTTGGACAGCTCCACTCCTGCTGTCTCTACTGTGCCCCCACAGGCAGATCTCCCTGGGGAGCTGCTTGTGGACATGGAGAACGCACACCAGCTCGTTGCCTCCGGCAAAGAGCTCAAGGCAGTGGAGACAGACCTGGCTATCGCTCAGGTACGGGGCTTGGGAAGCCCAGTCTCCACCTCTGCTCTGGATGCTCACACGCCTGCACTTCAGAGAAGGGTGCTGGGGTGGGTCAGGGGAAGAGCGGGTGGGTGGGCAGCGCTTACGTGGCAATTTGGATGGATGGATGGACAGGCGGACGGTTGGAGAGATGGGGGGAAGTTGGACGTGGATGTCTGGATGATTTGACAGACCCCTGGGTCATGGAATGGGTGACGGAAAGGTGGAGGATGCTGGGATGATCGACTGAACAGATGGATGAACGAGATGGCGGTGGGATGATGTATCAGCCCTTTGTTCCTGTGTCACAAGTTACCCCGAAATTCACATTTATTAGACCACACAGCTTCTGAGGACCAGCAGTCTAGGAAGGGCTTAGCGTGGCGGTTTTCCTCAGGGTCTCTCCAAAGCCTAAGTCAGGTTCTCGTCAGGGCTACAGTCACCCAGTCTAGGGACTGACCTTCAAACCCATCCTGTGATGGCCTCGGTCCCTCACTGGCTGCGGCGGGCGGGTTCAGTTCCTCATCACATGGGCCGCTTAGTGTCTTTACATGGCAGCTGGCTACCCCCAAGCTGAGTGACCCTGGAAACGAGACAGAGGAGTGAGCCCACGAGAGGACACACAGTGCTCTATAGCTGAATTCTAGGCGTGGCAAACATCACTTCTCCCCGGGGTGCTGGGCACACAGACCGCCCTAAACCAGCTTGAGCAGCCAGAGAACGGGTGAACTCCAAGGGCAGGGCGCTCTCCTGGTCTCCCTCACTCAGAATACCTCCACTGCCCCCCAAGGCTCCCAGAGTCTCCCTGCGTCACGGCCTCAGCTCGGAGTCCAGCATCTCATCATGGAAATCAGATCTGGGTGCAGGTGAAGGCGCTAGTTGCCTCAAAATCTGTTGCCTGCGAACTAGAAAAGTTACCTGTGTCTCCAATGCCACCCCAGAGTGGTGGGGAGGGCAGCGAATAACTGCTATAGGCACAGCTATTAAAACAGGAGGAGGGGCACTCTCCCTCGCGGTGCATCCGGTTAAAGCACCGCAGAATGAAGCTCTCCAAAGCCGCTTCAGCACGGGTTCGATCCCGAGCCAAGGAGCTGACCCACATGGCGTGGCAGGCCTCTTCTGCCCTGCCCGCTGCTCCCCTCACAAGGCATGGCAGACCTCAGTCTGCCTCTTCTGCCCCCTACTCTGTCACTGGTGAATCCTCTCACCCACCACACCTCTGGCCTGTACCCCAGTTCTGTAAGTATAAATGAACGAAAAACAGGAGGAGGGCCTCCCTGGTGGTGCAGGAGTTCAGTCTCAGAGCTATACCTCTGTCACTTGTGGATTCAATCCCTGGCCAGGGAGGTGACCCACAGGGCGCAGCAGACATCTCCTGTCTCCCCGCTGCTCCCCTCAGCTGTGTACTTTGTTGATCTGCCTGTTCTGCTCCCCACTCTGTCTCTGGTGAGTCCTCTCACCTCCCCCACACCTCTGGTCTGTACCCTAGTTCTTCTATGCATAAACAAATCTTAAAAACTAAATAAAACAGGAGACCACACAGGTATCACTGGCCCTTAGCTTTTTTGAAATCCAGCTAGGCAAATCTTGGAAGTTCCTGAATTAGACCTTGTTCCTACATGAGTTTTCCGCCATGGTGCTTGATGCTCTGTGGACTCTTCACTCTGAATTAGCCTTCATTCTTCACAAAAAGTAACATGTATTTGAGTTGTTTTCTTACTTGGCTTCCAGCTTATAGTACATTAGTAAAGGTCTCTTTATATTGTACCATCTCTTCCCCTGTCAGTCCAAGCTGGTGATGTTTCTATTCATATAATTTTCTTTTTTAAAGATTGATTTATTTATGCATACAAGAGCTGGGGTATAGCCCAGAGGTACAGGGGGTGAGCGGATTTACCAGAGATTCACCAGATGGGGAGTAGAACAGGTGGATTGACCGAAGTCCACTGCTGAGGGGAGCAGCGGGGAGATAGGAGAGGTCTGCTGTGCCCTGGGGGTCAGCTCCCTGGCCGGGGATCGAACTCTTGCTGCAGTGGCTGTGGAGAGACTCACAGTCCTGCGCTTTAACCCATTGTACCACCAGGATGGGTCCTATATCCAGAGTTTTTAATTGAAGTTTTACTAGATAAACACACATGGTTAGTTATTGCCCATGAATCTGAATGCTGTCTCCAGCTCTGCCTCTCCCCTCCCAGCTTTCCTTAGCAATCAGACTCCACATGGCTAAAAACGCAGCCCCCGGATCACAGCCCAGCCCTCCCAGCACATCAGCTCCCCGGAAAGTCCCCCCAGCATAAACTCTCAGGTGCGGCCCGAGAGGCCCACTAGGAGTGGCCAAGACTTGCCTATCCATCGGGACATTCCAAGGGCCCACATGTCACCTCCCAGGAGCCAGGACAAAGATCAAACTTCTTTTGGGGGTTCCTTCTTCGCTACACAGAGAGGTTGAGAATTTTCTAAACTGTCAAGTCCCAGTTCCTTCATGATTAATGCTGCTTCCTTTGGCTTCACCCCCCCATGTGCATGGGTGCCCCAGTGCACCCACGAGCACCAGAAAAAGCCACCAAGTCCGCAGGACCCGATGCAGGAGGTCACGCACGCCCTCTCCTCGCCCTCCTCCTGTTCCTACTTCAGCCCTGTCACGGTAGTAGGGACCACACTCAGATGTCCAAGAGAAATTCACACCCAGACCCTTGGGGCGGCCCTGGTGACTGGCTACCACAGGGCCCTTGTCCCCAGCCCTCGGCGGAAATTAAAGTTCAGACTCTTGGCCTCAGGCACACAACTCAGATTTGACGGGAGAGGGCCCTGGCCCAGGCCTGCCCAGAGCCTTCAAAGCCCACGCTCACGCTCAACTCCCTCCTGCGCTGCAGGACGCCGACGTGCTGGATCTGGAGATGCTGGCCCCCTACATCTCCATGGATGATGACTTCCAGCTCAACGCCAGCGAGCAGCTCCCCAGGGCCTACCACAGACCTCCGGGGACCGTCCCCCGGCCCCGTGCTCGGAGCTTCCACGGCCTGTCACCCCCAACCCCTGAGCCTTCCCTGCTGCCCCGCTGGGGGAGTGACCCCCGACTGAGCTGCTCCAGCCCTTCCAGAGGGGACCCCTCAGCGTCTTCCCCCTTGACTGGAGCTCGGAAGAGGTGAGCAGCAATAGAGGGGGTGCAGAGGGGCGCAGAGGAGGTCCCTGAGCCCTTGCCCTGTGATGGCCCCACACCTCATCACTCCTCCCCTGGCCAGAGCCTTGGGGTCTCCAGCACGCGTCACGTTCACCCCAACCTCTGTCTCTGCCGAGCTGTGCCCTCATTCTGGAGGGGCCTCCACTGTCCTGTTTCCTCAAGTCCCTCTGGTCAACCAGGTCCATTTCCTTTGGATCATACTCTCTTCTGGCCTAGTGCAAATGTCGAGTCCTCAGGAAGAGGACGCTGCCAGCATCAGAGAACTGCCCAGAACTGTTTCCTAACACCTTGGGGAAGCCTTGGAGTGAGGGACACCTTCCCAAGGGGAGTGCCAGACACACACTTTCTGGGAGGTTTGTGTCCCTGCTCCAAAGATGTTCGATGACGAGTATTCAGGCTTTTGCTCTCCGCGTTGCAAGTATGAGCCCACTTAGGCCCACACTGATCGCTTTAATGGACACAGCTCAGGGGTTCCCAAGGCTGCCAGGTGGGCGCTGGGTGTGCAGCGGGTCCTAAAAGGGCCTTATTGAATGAGGAGGGAGGAAAGTTATAGATATGGCAGGTGGGTGGGTAGATGATAAATGGGAGGGTAGGTAGATGGATGGAGGGAGGATGGAGGATGGGTGGGTGGAGGATGGAGGATGGGTGGGTGGAGGATGGAGGACAGGTGGATGGATGTTGAATGGGCACGTGGCAGACAGGTGGGAAAGATGTATGATGCAAATTGTGTGGGCAGCGGGTGGCTCTTGGCTGGCTGAATGGCGGATGCATTGGTGGCGCATGTGTGGTCTGGTAGCATCCGAATAAAGGCGTAGGTGGGTGCTGGGGGGTGAGTGAGTGCTCGCTCTGCCCACACCGGTGCTCACACCTGCGCAGGGTTGCTGCGTTCTGATTGTCGCCTGTTTCCCTCCAGGGCCCTGGCCCAGAGCTCAGAGGACGAGGCCGAGGGAGTGCTGGGCGTGAGACCCCCCAAAAGGTCCCCAAGTCCAGGTCCCGAAAACTTCCTGCTGCCTCCCCTCAGCCTGGTATGTGGGTGGGGCTTCATGGGAGTCTCTGGAGCTCAGAATGTAGCGGACGTAAATCTGTCTTATGATGGGGTTGGGGCCTGGCTGAAGGTCGAATGCAAGGTCAGGAGTCTAGCTCAGTTAGGAACTTGACCTGCTGGTTTGGGGACCGGATGGAAGGCTTTGCAAGTAAATACGTATAAATTGGTGGTCAATGCCAGGAAGAAAATCAAGCTGGACAAAGGGAGAAACGACAGGGTTGGCATCTGGAGGAAGCTTCTCCGCTCCTGTAGGGCCTCCCCCAAAACGGAAACTGACCTTGGCCTTGGATTACTGGAGTAGACTGAAGAGCCTCAGTTTCCTCATTTGGAGAGCTTCATTTCACAGAACTGCCAGGAGATGCAAACGAAACTACGCCCTTGACTAATCCTCAGTGGGCTGGTCAGGCCAAAGCAAACCCCCCTTCTTCACCCCTGCCTTCTCTCCACCTCCAGTGTCACTCCTGCACTGCGGTCACCAGACTGCCTTTTCTTAAAGCCCCCCAGACGGTGGCGTCACTTTGATGACACCCGCCTGCCAGGCCTTTCCATGGCCCCCTGTTGCCCACAGAAGCAAGTGTTGGCTCCTCACTCCCCACAGGGCTGCTTGAACACAATGAGTACGGGCTGTAACCACTCTTGAATTATCATCAGGTGTGCGCGTTTATACATCAGAAGTGCAGCAGGTGTTATCAGACAGGATCCTGGGAGGAAGCGGCTCGCTCAGATGGGTTGTTGAGATGGTGACGACACTCTTGGCAAAGGCAGGAGTAATAACTAGGGCTAGTGCAGTGCCCCAGGCCAGCTGTTCCCCTGGGGAGCTGGCACCACCCCTGGGCCCAGGGCAGTGGTGTTCGAGGGGTCCTGGAGAAAGTAGGGTCCACCTTGGGAGTACTGGAACCTTCCAAGGAGGGACAAGCCAATCCAGGACGACCTGAAGACCAAACACCCTGACCTGTCCTCCCCCTGTCTGCCGGTGTCTCCTGTTATCTGAACCCAAAGGAACACATGACTGAGGCTGGGTGCTGATGGCCCCCACCCACGGGTCAGCCTCCTAGGGCAGGGGTGAAGGACGTCGCGCCAGTGGCTGACCAGTCACAGTCGTGAGAAGCTGCTGAGCCCCACTTCGCCCTTGGTCGGTGACAAGGCACCACCCCGCCCTGTTGGGTGACAGCAGTGGTGGGCTGGTCTCTCCCACAGAGTTTCCTTCTGACGGCCCCAGGGACCCAGCAGGATCCCAGCACCCATCTCCTGGGACTGAACGAGCCCTTGGGTAAGTAGGGACCCTGGTCTCTGTGGGAGGTGCTTCGGATTGGTGAGGGCTGGGGTGACCCTGAGGCCTGTCAGTGCCCCGCAGGAGCTGGAACGGGGCAGCCGGAGCCCAAGGGAGGCGGGGGCTTTGCAATCTGCTCAGGCCCCGCCTGGGCCCCCCAAGGACTGTTACAGTCTGTGGCCCAGTCAGATTGGTGTGTCCCCAAGGTCATCCCAGCCTGGGGCTTCGGGGAGTAACCCTGTCTGCTTCTGGAGCCCCAGCTGCCCCCCACCCACTCCGGTCGGTGGGGTCCATTATAATGGATTATGTGGGCTGCACAGGGCTCAGCTCACAGTGCTACTCCCACCATCTTTCCAGAGGTGCCGGTTATCAGCTGCCCTTATACAGTCCAAGCCCATGGGGGGTGAGGCCAGGCCTGCCCTGGCCACAGTGCCCTCTTGCCTGTGACTGCGGCTGGGCAGTGACCCGGCCCTGGGAGGCGCTCGGGACACCGGTGCCAATGAAGAGCCAACTGGCTGTGTGACCGCTGGTGCGAACCCTGCCCTGTCCAGGGCCTCACAGACACGCCCCCCATGGGGTCACGAGCTCCCTGGGGCAGTGAGGTGCCTCCATCCTGTTTACACCTGAGTCCCTGGGGCTGAGTCCCCAGTGCCTAGCACCCACTAGGTACTCAACAAATGTCTTTTGCATGAGGGCAGAAGTTGCCCTGCCTGCCAGTGCTCCCCAGGGCGCCTTCCCGTTCAGAGCGCTTTGTCTGGATTCACCCCCTCGGTCCTCACCACAGCCCAGGGGGCAGGTGCTGCTATTAGCCCATTTTACAGAGGTGGTAACCTGAGGCTCAGAGACAGTCGGCTGCTTCAGGTCACACAGCCAGTGCACAGCCGAGTGTGGACTCCAGCCCAGGCAGCAGTCTGGCCCCCACACCCTGGAATTCACGACCACCTCATCGGCCCTGCGCTAACTATGGGAAAGGAAGGAGGGTTGGGGCGATGGTTACCCCAGTTTACATTCCATCTGCCCCACAGGCATGGGCCCCTCGCTGCTCTCTCTCTACCGGGGCGAGGATGCCACCCAGCCTCGGAGCCGCTTCCAGCCTGCGGCAGGCCTGGCCCAGACGGCCTGAGCCAGCCCCTCTTCCCGCCTGCCCCGCCCCCGAAGGACCTCAGCCACACTCCAAGCCGGCAGCCAGCGCACAGCATGGGGTGCCGGGAGAAGGCCCCCTCTGTCCTCACAGTGGCCCCCACCCGCCTCGGGTATACCTCAGTCCTCACCGTTCTGGCCACCCCCATTTGGGGGCTCTGGGGTGGCCTCAGCTCAGTGACCTCGGGAGGGGGGTCCCTGACCCCTCTCCCTCCTTCTCTCAGGACTTCCCTTGGGGTTCTTGATACTGGTTACCTCATCCCTCTCTCCAGCTCTCTTGGCTTTACTTTTGATAAATTGGGGGTGGGAAGGTTGGGGTTCAGATCTGTATCTCTGGGCTCTGGGGCATATCGCTAACCACAATAGCATTTCTTTCTAGTCACCTTTCTTTTAGTCTTATTTTTATTTTATTTTTTGTCCTTTTCATCATGTTTTTAATTGCTACAAGGTGCCCAAGGACCCTAAGAATATGGGACTCTGATCCTCCCCTTTCTTCGGGTATCGTGGGGGACCCTGAAGGCAGACCTCACCCTGGCAACTTCTGCCGCCCAGCTCTAACGTCCCCCTCCGGCCTGGACCCGGCCACCCCCAGCCTCGCTGGCCGGGGTCTTCCTAGTCAGGGCCTCCCAGTTTCAGGCAGAGCCCCCACTTCCTCTGCCTCCAAACCACCCGCCGAGCTCCTGTGGTGCTAGTACTGTGCACCCCCAGCCTCGTCCGGTCCTACACGGCACACACAGCCCCCAGTGCGGTGGGCTCAAACCTCGCATGCTCCTGACTCCAGATCTCAACGGCACCAGCGCCGTCACTACCTCCGGTTGGTTTCCTGCTTCAGTCTCCAACATTGTTTGGTTCTAAACCTCACAGCCTCCAGCTCCCTCTGGCTCCACAGCCTCTGACCACCAGAGTCCCTGGCTCTAGAACTCACGCCCTGACTTCCTCTGGTTCTAGACCCTTCCCTGTAAACTCCCCTGTTCCAGAGGCTACATTTTCCAACTCCTGCTGATTCCAGCTCTTTCTACTAGTGATCTCCTTTGATTCTGGACTGTAAAATGCTAATCTTTCCGTGGTTCTAGTCTTCCTGACCAGTAACTCATTTGGTCCCAAACCTAGACTTCTTAATTATTGTTCTAAAATCATGATGTCCAACTCATGCCTTTTCACTCTCTGCTCGGCTTGCTCGGACCACCAAGAAGTAAGACGAGGGCTCCCTCCCACCAGCCTGGGAGTCGCACTTTATTTCTGTTCCTTTTCTCCTCAGTAAACTTTTTCTTTCTCTAAACCAAAAAAAAGAAAAAAGAAGTGAAATGTGCTTATGTCTCCTCTGAAAACCAGAACTTCCAGAACTCGATTCCATATTCCAGCTCTTTTCCCTTTCCTAGACTTTATGATCTTTACTCACTTGTTCTAGACCACACAACCTCTGGGCCTCACAGTTTCTAGGGCCCCTGATTCCAGATCTGATTATTTCCCTTTTTAAGCTGAAAGTGCCTTTCAGATTCCAACCTCCAGATTCCTCTGGTTCTACACCTCTCACTCCCTGCTCCCCACCCCCAGAGCTTGGGACTCCAAAGTACCCTAGGGCTAGCGCTCAGTCTGCAGACATCAGCTGAGGGTCACCCTTGTGTTAGGAACACTTCTAGGGCTCGGAACTCCCAATTTCTGATTCTAGGCCTTAGGATTCCCAATGCCACAGGTTCTAGAACCAGATCTGTTGTTGACTGTTTCTAATTCCCATCCTTACTATATGAATTCTTTTGGCTCTAGACCTCACAGCTTCTGACTACCTTGGATTCCAACCCAAATACTTCTGATTCCAGAACAGGAATCTGGTTCTGACTCTCATGACCTCTGATTCCTGATTCCAGATGCCACCTTCTGGGTTTGCCACCCTGCTCACCTTGCGCCAATTCCTAGTCTCTGTCTTAAGTCTTCCCAATCTGGGTCCTTCCCCCCATGCCTCTACTCATGGACTTCATGTACAAGCACAAGCGAGTCTCAGTCTCTCCCCTTTAAAACAGCTGTTCTGAAACCACCTTCACTCCCCGCTTCAGCCCTGCACTTGCCTTCACTCCAGGTGTCTGGAGGACCTGGGCTCCCTCACAATGCAGGAGATACCTCCAGCTGCACAGGCACGCACAGGGGTGGGAGAAAGACCAGTCCTCCCCCACCCACGGCCACCTGTGTCCCTCTGGATTCCCAGTGCCCCTTTTCTGATGGTGCTGTTCTTGGTGGCCCACAGGAAGGCCCCTCAGACCACTTCCCCCCTTTTGGAAGGCACTGCCCACTGTTTTGTCAGGGTATGGCCTGTCCAGATTGGTGCTATGGGGGTGAGGTGAGAAGGGATCCCCTGTCCTTTTGGGGTGACCTGGGCCCTCTATTGAGAGAACTGTGCTGAGCTGGGGGAGGAGAGGGGCCAGACCAGCCACGCTGACTCTGAAACTCACTAATGTGTACACCATAAAGACCTCGCCTTGGTAGGCACCAGACTTGTGTGTACTGACTCATCTGTGGGGTCCCCCTAAGGGGGTGTGGGCGCAGTGGGTGATGAGGGGGGCGTCCACACTCTGTGAATTTACGTGTCCTCCATGTGGGTCTATGTAACATACGTCTGGTGATGTCATCCTGTGTAGATGTGTGTCTTTGTGACATCATTCCATGAACGTGCGTGTGTTCAGGGTGTAACTCTTTCTAGACATGTATCTGGGTAGAATGAGTCTGTCTTTTGTGTTCCTGGCAACTCTAGATTTCTGCATCTCTGAGTGGGAGACGGCTCATTGGTGCCCGTGTGTCTGTACGGTGTCACGATGCTGCAGATGAGTGGGGCTGTTTGACACTAGTTGTGTGCGGATGTGTCTGTGGCCTGATTCTCTGGACTTGAGTGTCTGCAGATGCACGTGCAGATGGGTGTGCCCTGTGCGCCGGGGTCCCTTATCCTCATCACCTGAGGTGCGCATACGAAGGGGCGCAGCTCCAAGCCTTGGCTCTAGCTGTTCCCGGCTCCAAGTGTCTCTTTCCTTCCTCCTCTCCGCACTTGTTTTTCCTCTTACTCATACTTCAACTTCCTCCTCCAACAACCTCCTGAGATTCTCCTGTCCCATCGCAGCTCTGAGCACTCTCCGCCACTCCTAAACAAAGTGGATATAGAAAAATGGGCTCTTGTGATCTTAACCAGTCCCCCTGTAATCCTGAACAGTGCTGTAGCAGTGCTCACACAGAGCTCAGAGACACGCAGTTGCAAAATCACTCAAGCCCTGGGAACACCAACAGGGCTTATTTAACAGGTAATTGGGGGAAAGAAAAGCATTTTTTTAGGCCACTAGTGCCCAGCTGTCTCACCCAGAGAGTGTCCAGAGTCCAGCAGCCCCAAACAAAGGCTGATTGTGCAAGAGGTTGCTGGCCCTTCGACAAGGGCCTGGAGATGGTGGCACGCCAGCAGGCAGGGGGCAGGATACAATCGCAGTGGCAGCTGGAGATGCCACAGGTGGGGCTGCTGAAGCGACAAGGCAGTCGCCACGGCAACAGTCTGGGGGCCAGGCTGGGACAGCACCAGCTGCTGTCCTGGACGGCAGGAGCAAGAGCAGCAGCAGAGCCGGCCTCTATGTGCACAGGTTGGGCAGCAGGACAGGAAACCGTCCTTACCGCTCAGCTTCCAGAGCTGCTCCCTGGGTGGCAGGCAGGCCGCTTCAAAGCTGGTCATGCTTTACGACTTGTGCCATGGGGCTCATTTCAATCCCGTACAATAGGTGTAATTATTATCCCTATTTAGGAGAGGAAGAAACTGAGGTTAAGAAAAGATGTTCACCTCCCAAGGTCCTACTGTGTTAGGCTCAAATCCAGAGATTCAGATCCATGACAGCACCTCCCTCCCCAACATGCACAGAAAATCTCAAAAATCTAACTCCCCAGGTGGGTTCCAGGGCATACAGAGACAGCAGGGTCTCCAGGCCATCAAGAGCACAGGGACTAGGTGGGGCACTGACTCCTATGACTTTGGCCAAGCGCACTGACCTCTGCACATGTCAAGTGTTCTCATTTGTAAACTGGAGATGATGCAGTGGGGGCACTGGGAGAGGCGGGGTTAGACTGACAGCAGGCAGACCGAGGGGCACCCGGGGACTCCCAAACCTCATCTGGTGGTGGGGTACCCTGGGACAACAGGCCTGGAAGGTTTGGGGGTGGGATAGTATGTTTCCAGGAGAGAAGCCAGAGCAGAACCTTAAATAAATGATGCTACTTTTCGGCCTGAGGCTGGCTGAGACCTCGGAAGGATGGTCTAGAAGCGGAATGGTCTAGAAGCCCTTACAGTGGGGCAGGGGGGCGGGAGGGGGCTGGGGAGGAGGATGGCATACGGAGACATTCCTTACTACTCCGCATCTCCTGGGTCATCGGTAAATTTTTTTTTTTCCTTAAGGGAAGTGAAAAACCTTGGAAGCTGGGGGAGTGGGACGGAAGCTGAGGGGGAAGGAGAAATACGATGATGCCAAAAAAAAAAAAAAGGGGATCCAGTTAATTTAAAAACATGAACCCTCAAGGTTGGTTCGAGAAACCACCCATTTTTCGGAGGGGTAACTGAGGCCCCCCAGGAAGGGAAGATTTGCTCAAGGTCACACAGGTAATTCACGGGCGGCAGCGCCCTGACGTGGTGAGGCCCGGCGGGACAGCCACACCCCCACACGACATCGGCAACCCACCCACCCCGGCGCCGGCGAGGGAATCGCGCCTTAAGACCAGAGAAACTTCCGAGGCGCCGGAACGTGGTGCCTTCGGGAGCAGGGGTCCCGCCGGGCCCTTTTTCCCCGCGCGCCCCTTTTCGTCGTCCCCATTGGCTCCTCCTCGGAAGGGCGCCGACTGGAGTCCCTCTGGTCACCTTGTCCTCCGCGCGCTCAGTGGCGAAAGGGTGCTGCGCAGGCGCACCAAGGGCGCCTTCGGGGCCCGCGCTTTACGACACTTGTGCAGCAGCGGCGGCGGCAACCCGGCACTCCTTCGCGACGGTTCGGCCGGGTGCCGCGGGCGGCCGTTGCCAGGGTGGGGGTCGCTTTGCGGCATGGCGATGGCGGAGGGCGAGCGGACTGAGTGTGCGGAGCCCTCCCGGGACGAGCCCCCGGCCGATGGCGCCCTGAAGCGGGCAGAGGAGCTCAAGACGCAGGCCAACGACTACTTCAAAGGTGCGCCCGCCCTGGAGGGGGCGAGGGAGGGCGGAGAGCGGCCCCGGCCGAGGGGTGCCGGCCCGCGCGGAACCATGGCAACGCGGAGCGGCAGCCTGGGCGCGGGGCAGGCACTACCAAGTGACCCGGCGTGGGGAGGCCCACGATGGCGCTACCAACTGGCGACGGAGGGGAGCTTCAGAGAGAGGGGGTGACACCTGGAAGTGGCATATGGAGCGGGTGCCACTAAGTGGGGAGACGGAGGAGGGCGCGACCCGGTGTGAAGCGGGAGGGGAGTGCGAATGAGGGTTCGACCCAGTGTGAGCCCCCGAGAGAGGTGCCAGTGTGTGGGGAGACCTGAAGAGGGAGCTACTGGGTGGTGACATGGCACAGGGGAGTGATGTGAGACCAGGGGTGGGTGGCACCAAGTGGGGCTTGGGGGAAACTGCCCCTATAGAGTGGGGGAGCGGGAAGAGAGGAAAAAGAAAAGAAGGCAAACAAAGGAAAAGGAAGAAAAGGGACTGGAGGAAAGGCAGGAAAGGCAGGGCGGAAAAAAAGAGAAAAAGGAACTTAGGAAAGAGTAAGATGTGGGGGTACCTATTTGCTTATTAACATGTTCACTGAGCACCTGCTATGTGCTCAGGACTGTTCTAGACTGAGAAGAGCAGCCAGGGAGACAGGTGTGGCCCTGCCCTCGTTCAGCTTGCAGTTTACTAGGAGAATCAGACGTTGAGCAAGCACACAAATAATACGATACCTGGACGTTGTCGTGTGTCGTGAGTGCTTTGGAAAATGCCAGCAGCCTGTGAAAGAGAGTATTTGCTGGAGGCTGCTGAGATCGAGTGATCAGGGAAGCCCATACTGAGCGGAAGACAGGGAGAGTTGGGAGAAGTATTCCAGGTAGGTGAGGTGCAGACTAAAAGGAATTTGGTGTGGCTGGGACTTCTCGGAGTCAGCAGTGTCCGGATGGTGCAGGGTCTCATAAGTCATTGCAAAGATGAGTTTGGATTTTACTCAGCCACGGTGGGGGCAGAGGGGGGGAGACCTTGAGGAGATAGGTGGGTCAGTCTGGAGAAGAATTTGGGCACCACCCCTCCCCACACCCTGTGGATGGAATGGAACACCTGGGATGGGTGAGGTCACCCAGGGAGAGAAGGGACCTAGGACGGAACTGGAGGAATTCTAATGTTGAGAACAGAAGCTGAAGAGGCTGAGTGGCCGGTGAAGCCGAAGGAAAATCAGGAAAGGTGAGAGAAGAGAGTGCTTCCAGGAAGAGGGGCTGTGCCCTAGGTCACTTGCTGCCAGGAGTCCAGAGCACTGACCATTGGCTCCCTGAATGTTAGTGGCGCCCGCGACGAGGGTCTGGGGAAGGGGGGTGGCAGCCAACTGGGAGGGCAGTGAGATGGGCAGCAAGGAAGGGGGGACAGCAGGTGCTGGGCCGGGTTTCTAGAGGGAGTGGAGAAATGGAGGAAGGGAGGTGAGGATGAAAGAGACTAGAGGCTGCGCCAACAGAAAGAGGAATGGGGCGTGCAGGAGACAGGGTGCCGGCAGCAAAGCCATGGAAAAGATGAGGCGCGAGAGGGGTGTAGAGCCCCAGAAGAGAACTGCCCCCTGGGGCGCTCGGACCTGGTTGGAGGGGAAGTGTGAGCCCTGACTGGGGGAGCTGAGGCGAGGAAGAGCCTTCTGGGCTGGGCTGGGTTCCAGAGTAATGCCGGATGCATCCAGGGGTTGGTAGGGAGCTGGAGGGTGCTGGGGGCCATGGGAGCTTTGAAGAGATTTTGAAAAGATCCCCAACTGCCTGGCAGACACTGGTCACTTAGGCCAGACTGGAGAGCAGGAGGGAGATGATGTGACAGGGGAGCAGGCTGTGCTGCTGCCCATGCTGGAGAGGTGGCAGCTGATGCCAGGAATTCTTCGGAGAGGACATGAGTGAGCCTGGGCCTGGGCGGAGAGAGACGCTCCGGGCAGGGAAGGCCTGGTAAGGTGAGCTGGGCCCAGGAAGTGCGCCCGCTGGGGTGAGGGCAGGGCTGTGGGGAGGCCTTCTGGTGCCCCCTGAGCTTTCTGCTGAGGACTGTGGGGAGCCACGACCAGTGCTGAGCAGGGAAGGGTCAGCTTTGTGCTTTAGAAAGACCCCTCTGGAGGGGCAGGGAGAGACTGGGGCAGGAGCCTGGCTGAGGACCGCGGGGGCAGGGTGGGGAGGGGGTGAGTGGGCGTGAGAGATTTTCGGGAGGCTCACTTGACAGAACAAGTGGTTGCTGGGGCTTTGGGGGTTGCGGGGTCTGGGGGGTCGTTCAGGACGGGCCCATTCTGCAGCTGGCGTGGGGGGAAACATGGAA